CGGGCCCAGCCCCTGCAATTCTTGGCTGGCTGCATGCGGTGCTGGCCAGGTCGGACCGGTTCCTGCTGTGCCCTGCTGTCTTGGCCGTGCAGCTGGGACATGGTGCGGAAGCAGCGAGGGGGGTCGGGGGGACAGGGAAGCAGAAAGAGAAGGACAGTAGTGGTGACAGACAGGAATGGGAAGTGGCAGTAGGCGGGAGCACAGGGCCCACACTGGTGCCCTGGGGCCAGGAGCAGCAGGAGCGCAGAGTCCGGGCTTGGAGAAGTGCTTTCAGGGGCTCTGCCTGCCATGGGATGGGGGGCGGGCTGAAGCCAAACCCTCCCCCTCCACATATGTGACGGCCCTCCCCAGCCACCCTTCCCCCCCACACACTCACAGCCCCCCACAAACTACATACCCACCCACACACACACATCCATACCCACCCCAGCACCCTCCCACAATATACAAGAGTAAGACTTAATTTTAAGCTATTTTACTATCATCTCTAAGTACACTGCACAAATGCATGTAAATCAGGACAAAAATATTTTTTTTAAATGAAATTCATGAATGTTGAAGTACATGTTTGATTTTTAGAATATAATTTGGTATTTTTCTTGTTCTGAGATGGCAAACCCCCTTGCTGAAAGAGTACTTCCGGGGGGCAAGGGAAGGCACTTCTGGTAGAAAAGGTCAGGGGTCAGGAGGCGGGACTTCCAGTCCCAAGATGAGGATCAGAGGGTGGGACACCTGGGCAGGGCTACCCTTGTGGCCCTCGATAGCTTGACAAAACTCGAGAAGCTGTCCTCCACCTGAAATAATTGCCCACCTCTGCAATAGATACAGATGTCAGGCAATCCGGGTCCACATAAGGCATTGCCTCTTCTGGGCATGCGTGGGGCTTAGTTCAGGAACATGCCAAGTTTAAAGTAAAGCACTTTTTTTTTTTTCTCCTTTAACGTCTACAAGCTCCCTGTGATTCTAGGCAAGTTTAGTTTAATTTAGCACTCTAAATTAGGGGTTCTTAATTTATCAAAATGTGAACTATATTTGACAGAGTCTCACTGATTATTTCTGCATTTGACATTTATGCAGTAGTTAATGAACTAGGGTTGCGAGTAGAAATCAGTTTTTCATCAACTTTTCGCACAATAGAATTTGGTGAAACTTCAGGATTTTACAATCATCTTCCTTCCCCTTTCATGCTAGGCAGTTTCATGACACTTTTGTTGCTCTGTGAACTTTCAGTAACCCAGGAGTGGTACAGAGGCGGGGCTGTCCCTAAGGGGGGCAAATCAGGGCAATCACCTTGGGCCCCGTGCTTTGCGGAGCCCTGCAGAGGCGGGGCGCAGCTGCAGTTTAGCCCACCCGCGCACCTGGTGGGTTAGATGGCTCTTTACTTGTTCCGCCGAGGTGTTCCAGCCGCCACCCATCCTGCCGTGAATGGTGTGCTGAGGCTTTCACTCCCTGGCGCAAGTGTGCCGTGGGATGTGGAGGGGGACCCCACACGGGCTACTTTGCCCTGGGACCCGCACCATTCTGGGATCATCTCTGGGTGCAGGCATTACTTGCCTGTATTTATGTTTTCTGCTCACTATTGGGGCATTTTACTCCAGGCATTAATTAAATTAATTCTTAGTGTTTTATTAGATAGAGTGAAGCAGTTGAATAAATAGCATGTGTTGTTAACCTGTAATATAGGTGTAGTGATAGATGATACTATTAGGAGAGTAGTAATCAAGGAAAAAGACTTATTTTCTGAACTTCTACTTTTTTCTAAGTTTTTCTTGTCTAGAGGTCTGTGACCTTTTGGGTAGTGTTTGAGGTGCACTGATACATCGGTAAGCATCGTATCAGTACCAATAAAAGGAAAACTGACGTTATCGGCAATTAGCTTTTTTTGGCTGATATGGCCAAAAATGTTGCTGATAAATGTGTGTGCATGGCCATGTGCATGCTGCACTTGCGCAGCCCAGTAGCTTGGAGAGAGCTGCCCCCTCCCTTCCAGGAAAAGCCTGGCACTGCCCCCAGCCTGCAGCAGCAGCCTGCCCTCCCCCCCCGCACACAGATTGGGGGGCACATGCACCCCATGCCTCCCCCAGGGGTGTGCACAGTGGCAGGAACCACCCCCATCTCTGCACCCCATGCCCCCTGGATGAGCTGCTCTTGACTCCATCCCATGTCCCACCCTGGCTGGGCAGTGCCTGCCTCTGCCTCAGCCCTGCTCCCTCCCTCACTGCAGGGGCCTTGATATGCCTCTTCTGCCCCAACAGACTTACCAGCCAGATGCTGCTCTCCAGGCGGCCAGGTTGCATATCAGCAATCTGACCAGTATCAGCCAATATGGCTCATTAATCAGCCATCAGTATCGGACCAAACATTTTTTTGTCAGTGTACCCCTAGTTGTTTCAGTAGAATATAAAATCATACCAGCTTAGATTCCAGTCCAAGACTACATCTAGGTTGCATATTTGAGCTATTACATTTGTAAATGCATACAAAGTCTTTAATACGAATAATTTTTTGTTTGGAATTTCCAGAAAATGTACAGTATATTTTAGCAAGAATACTTAATAAGGCCAAACAGTAAAGATAATTAAGTTGCCTAACATAAAGGAATTGAGTTAGCTGAGGAACTTTTAAGAATCTAAAACTATGATTGAAAAACAAGGAATTTTGACCTTTTCTTAATAATCAGCAAAATTTTAATTTAGTTGCATTTTAAGCATGTTTTCCTTGCTCACATCATAGATAACCATTCAAAAGCTAAAGTTCAGCATGTGGATGTGTCAACTAGCAGTGAAGGAAAGGCAGATGGTAACAAGGAAGATAAACAGACAGGTTCTACTCAAAGTCTATCTTCTCAAGGTAAAATATATATATACCTTTCCCGATATAATTATTTACCGCTTTGTGAGCCACCCGGTATGTGCAAAGACACGTGCAAATCTCTATTTGTTACTTTACTGTTTCTGGAATTTGTAAATGCATTCAGAGGGAGGTGGGGGGAGGGGAAGCCCTGCATGTTGGAGCCGGCTGCCTTCCCTGCCCCCTACCATGCAGGTCCCAGGACTCCACCAGAAGTGGAGGGGAGCCCTGCCCCTTGCTTCCTGGTGGAGTCCTGGGACCTGCCTAGCAGGGAGCAGGGAAGGCAGCTGGCTCCGTCACACAGGGCTTCCTCCAGTGGCACATGAGTGCTGGGAACTGCATGTTTGCCACAGGGAGCCCACGTGGTAGAGGCAAGCCAGCTGGCTGCGCTCCTTTCTACCACATGTAGCGTTGGCCAGAGCCACACGCTGCAAGTGCCCCAAGCACCCACCACCCCCTTGGGTGAGGGCTCTGCGCTCCCGCCAGCCCCACTGTCTGCACTCCCACCCCTCACCCTCATTACTTCCCTACCTGCTACCCAGAGTGAGTGCTACAGCAGGTAGATGAGGACAAGCTGCTGGACACCAGGGAAGCTGAGCAGGTCCTCCTCACCCAGAAGATGCGTGCTGGCTGGGCCAGGCCTTTCCACGCATGAGAGTGGGAGCGAGCTGCGTGGGCTGGGCAGTGTACAATTAGTTGGTGGGTTCCTGAGGCAGCCCGTGGGCCTTATTTTGCCCTCCCTGGTTTAAAATGTGTTTGAATCATTCTAAGAGTCGTCTGTCCACACAGCCTAAATGGTCTTTTGGTTTTCAAGGCTGTTCAGGTCTTAGTGAGCATGGCATTGGCTTATGTGGTCCAGCAGCACTGGAAGTATTTTTTTGTGAAAGCTAGAAGGGACTGCTGTTCAGATTTCCATTTCTGTGGTTACCAGGATGGTATTGCTCCTAGACGAGTAGATTTAGACAACCACCTGCTACAGAATAGAGAATACATCTGTCTTCTGTTCAAATGTGATGGGCAGTTTAAAGCACTATTGGCCTCTACTGCTTACCTTTTTATCTTCTGAACAGATAACCCAGAAGACCTATATTGCATCAGTGCCGCCTTAAAGTGAATGCCATACAAACCGGTTGTCAAATTTTTATTTAGGATATGGGCATAGGTGTAACTGAGGGCTTTGGAATAAAATAAGAGATGCTGCAAGTAGATTCTTTTTGGGTTTGTTTTTTGGCTTTTCCATGAGGGGTATGTGCGCATAAATGTGTGTAAATCAGTGGTTCTGGATCCTCGTGCTGGCCAGGCAGTGATCTGATCCAAAGCGGGCACTGGGGAAGGAGGAATCAAGCAAGCAATACAAGCTGACATAACTAGCTCAGAAACATAAATATTCCTTATTTATTTCCCTTGGTGTCTGGTGTGATGGTGGGGTTCAAGTAAGGTGGCTTCTGGAGGGATTGTGGTTTGCCACTTGTGAAATAGATGACTGGGGGTGTGGCAATGTTTAGACATTGATCAAAGTAATCTGGGTGTGACTAGCTTCAGTTCCCAGGTGCCAAATAGGTCCTGAGTTTACAGGTGAACTACTTCTTGGCATCCTTTGCACATACCTCTTGCCCAGTCTCAAACCCCTTTGAGGTGGGGCTTGAGGCATGTGCAGGGAGAAAATTAGACCCCTGGACATCCAGGTATCTAAAAAAAACTGCTCCGCAGAAGAGCGGAGCAAGGCATGGTCCCAGACCATGCCAGGGAGTGAGTCCTCCAAAAGAGACGCTCTGGTGTCAGCCAGAGTGTCTCTTGTTTTCCTGCTGCCTCTGGCCCCCGGTGCTGTCCAAGGTAAGTTGGGGGGGGGGTTTGGGGACCTGGCCCGGCCCAGCCCAGCCCAGCCCAGCCCAGCCCAGCCCTGTGTGGCTCGCTAGTCTGGCTTTGCACCGGAGAGGGTCACAGGGCTCCGGGAGGCGCGCACAGGATCCATGCCTCCCAGAGCCATGAGACCCGCTCCGGTGCAAAGCTGGACTAGCGAGCCGCATGGGGCTGGCCCAGATCCTGCCGTGCGCCACCCCTCCGCAGGCACAATGGGGCAGAAGCAGGATGCGGCACGGTGCGTGGGGACCACGTGCCACACCCAGACGGGTCCTGCCGGCCCTGGGGCCCTCTGTTGCCCAGCCGGGCCAGGCCCTTGGTGGCAGGACCTGGCACGGTACACAGGGACCGCATGCTGGGCCCAGCCAGGTCCTGCTGCCCTTAGGGCCCCTCTGCTGCCTGGCTGGGCCAGGCCCATGGCAGCAGGACCCGGCGCAGTGCGTGGGGACCGTGCGCTGCACCCAGATTGGTCCTGCCGGCCCTGGGGCTGCTCCTGCCACCCGGCCAGGCAGCAGGAGCAGCCCCAGGACTGTCAGGACTCGGTAGGTGCAGTGTGCGGTCTGCTGGCAGGCTTCCATGTTGCTTTAACATTATAAATATACCAATAAAGCATTGCCCAACTGATTTGCTGTCTCTCTCTCTCCATATATACATCTATACTCTATACAGTATGTATACTGTATACACACAGACATTCTATATATATATATATATATAAAATGTCTGTGTGTGTGTGTATAGAGTGGTCTTTTGTTTTAATTGTGAAAAAACATGGATTTTGGGGTATTTTTAAAAATGGATTTGGGATGCTGCTGCTGCAGTCCGGCTGGCACAAGGGGTAGTGTCACTAGGAACCAAGTGGCCAGGCCCCAGAAGCTCTTGAGAGCGAGTAGCCCTGAGCTGCTTGCCAGGGCAGCTTTTTATATGGATGAGGCCAGGACAGGGCAACTCTTTATACTGCTGGGGACAGCAAAAGTGCTGGCCTTGGGCTCTAGCTCCCCCTGGCTGCAGATCTGAGAGGACCCAGGCAGGGTTATTTTGCCCCAAGTGGCACAATTTGCTCCACAACAAAGTGCATGTACATTGAAACATACAATGTTAGGTGTCCAGATAGTGCCCCCTGTGGTCTCCTGCACCCCCCTGCTATGCAAAGGCTATCCTCACACTTCTAGTTGTTTGCTAGGTGCAAGTGGATGTGCTCTTGGTTTGGATGGGTAAGTGGATAGCAGTTGGTGACTGTGAGGTCTTAATTCTAGCTTTGTGATAGATCACAGAAACATAGGGTACAAAGGGACCTCAAAGGTCATTTAATCCAAATCCCTGCATGAAGGCAGACTGCATGATTCGTATTCAGTTTTTGGCCCCTTCCTAAATTAGGTACTACTTTGAGACTCTCTTGGAAGGTGAACTATAATTATTGTAGAACTGTGAGATTTGTATTTCCCATGGTGCTGAACTGTTACTGAGGATGACTTTTTTGCCTTTATCTTTAATATTAATACTTTTTATTCATAACTTTCATGACACAGTTTGCCTAATCTTGAATCCACATCTAAAGTATTAACTACAGTTCAAAAACACTTTCTTGTGAATAGATCACTTGATCTCCATTTACAGTGGAAGCAGGATCATTTGTATCAAGGTGGTTTGCAACTAGCTTAATTTGTATCAGATTGCTAAATTACAGATCAGCTGCATGTTTTTCTTTCAGAGAGTGCTGCATCTCTGCTCAGTCAGAGCAGCAGTCCTGTGCGGGTAGCTGTTTGCTGCAGCTCTGTGTATTCTTGCTCACTTTGCAACTTTGCAACACGTATTCTTAGAAGTATTTGATTCTACTGTATTCTATAAAGACTCTGCATAGATTGCACAAAGTTGCTCTTTTGCTACTCTCTCCCATCCACTATCCAAATACAAGAAGGTCTTAAAGCTCTGTTAATCTGTAGATACTCCAGAAAACTCACAGAACTCTTTAATATCAGGGCTTGTTCCTTCAGAACCACAAGTGAAAAAGTCTTTAGCTTTATGTGAAGAAATATGTAAAAAACAGCCACATGGTACTCTGTCCAGCTTTTATAAGCTATGCCTGCAAGGTTCATCAGATTCTTCCTTGCAGAAAGGGAATGCACTGAAATCATGTTTATAACAACTAGTATAGTTGTTGTTCAACAAAGTGGCATTGAAAAGAAAATGGAGAAAATGAAAAAAACTAGCAATGAATGGAGTGTTTGCCTAGATGGATTAATTGATAAGGAAAATTTAATTTTTGTATCAACTGAGGGATTAACTAAGGTCAAAGAATAGTTTTATTGTAATTTAAGAATTTAGAACTAAGCAAGTAGATGAAACTGAGAAAAAGAAACAAATTAAATGCCAGGAACTATTCTGTAGAAATAGGAGCCTAGTCTGTAGAAGAAACTGGTAGAAGTTTCTTCTTGTACCCAGAAACGGGGTACAAATTATTCAAGAAGGACAGGCAAGGGAGAAGAGGAGGGAGGAGTTGCACTTATGTATAAGAGCCATGTAGGAGAGCTGGCTGTACTTTTAAGGAAGCCTTACTGAGAGTACAGGAACAAGCCATCACAACACACAGGAAAACTAGCAAGTATGGCAGAAAACCAGCTTGGCTTAGCAGGGAATTCTTCAGTAAACTAAATCACAAAAAGGTAGTTTAAAGAAGTGGCAACTTGAAGAAATAACTAGGGAAGAATATAACAGCATTGCTTGGGCATGCAGGGATGAAATCAGGAAGACCAAAGCACAATTGGAGTTGCAGCTAGAAAAGGATGTGAAGCGTAACAAGAAGAGTTTCTATAAGGATGTTGGTAGCAAGAGGAGGATCAGGGAAAGTGAGAGTCTCTTACTGAATGGGGGAGGCAACCGTGTGACAGAAAAGGCAGAAGTGCTCAATGCCTTTTTTTGCCTCCATCTTCACAGGCAAGGGCAGCTCCCAGATGACTGTACTAGCCAGCACAGTTTGGAGAGGAGGTGAGCAGCCCTCAGTGGTGAAAGAACAGGTTAGGGACCACTTAGAAAAGCTGGATGTGTACAAGTCCATGGGACCGGATAGGATGCACCCAAGGGTGCTGAGGGAGTTGGCTAATGTGATTGCAGAGCCATTGGCTATCATCTTTGAAAACTCATGACAATCAGGAGAGGTCGCAGGTGATTGGAAAAGGAGAACATAGTGCTCATATTTTAAGAAAGGAAAGGAGGATCCAAAGAACTACAGACTAGTTGGCCTTACCTCAGTCCCTGGAAAAATCATGGAGCAGGTCCTCAATGAATCCATTTGTAAGCACTTGGAGAAAAAGGTGATTAGGAACAATTAGCATGAATTCACAAAGGGCAAGTTATGCCTGACCGATCTGATTGCCTTCTATGATGAGGTGACTGGCTCTGTGGATATGGGGAGACCAGTGGATGTAGTGTGCCTTGATTGTAGCAAGGCTTTTGATATGGTCTCCCACAACGTTCTCACAGGCAAGCTAAGGAAGTATGGGCTGGATGAATGTATTGTAAGGTGGATAGAAAATTGGCTGGAGCATCGGGCTTGGAGTAGTCATCAATGGCTCGATGTCTAGTTGGCAGCCGATATCAAATGGAGTACTCCAGGGGTTGGTTTTGGGGCCGGTTTTGTTCCAAGTCTTCATCAGTGACCTGGAAGATGGCATAGAGTACACCTTCAGCAAGTTTGCAAAAGACACCATGCTGGGGGGAGTAGTAGATATGCTGAGGGGGTAGGGCTAGGATTCAGAGTGACCTAGACAAATTGGAGGATTGGGCCAAAAGGAATCTCATAAAGTTCAACAAAGACAAGTGCAGAAATCCTGCACTTAGGATGAAACAATCCCATGAACCAATACAGGCTGGGGGCTGACTGGCTGGACAGCAGCTCTGCAGAAAAGGACCTGGGGGTTACAGTGAAATAACAATAAGATGAATATGAGCCAGCAGTATGGCCTTGTTGCCAAGAAGGCTAACAGCATACTGGGCTGCATCGGTAGGTGTGTTGCCAGTAGGTCAAGGGAAGTAATTATTCCTCTCTGTTCAGCACTGGTGAGGCCACATCTGGAGTACTGTGTTCAGTTTTGGGGCCCCCACTACAAAAAGGATGTGGACAAATTGGAGAGAGTTCAGCGGAGATTAACAAAAATGGTGAGGGGGCTGGGGGATATGACTTCTGAGGAAAGGTTGGGGGAACTGGGCTTAGTCCAGAGAAGAGGAGACATGTATTTGAATATCAAACTACTTGGTTTTGGCAGGAAGGAAGTGGGGCAGGACCAAAAATAAATATGAAATAATTAAGGGATGCTTTTATAAATAACTGGTTAGATTTGAGGGAGGCATATCCAAAATGCATTAGCTATGCTTTTTTCTGTTAAAATCTGGGAAATTTAAATGCTAAGGTTAATGGTATTGAACTTGAAACAATACCTTTAGGTTTTCTAGACTTTGAAATGCTCATTTCCAACTCTAATGGTTTGTTAATGCTTGTGTTTTTTTGAAATAAGGAATTTTTAATCAAACACTATTTAAAAACTTCAAGCCTTTGAAGAACTGTTATTAAATATACCTTTTTTTTTTTTAGGGGGAAAAGATACAAAAGACAAACTGGAAAAAAGCCAAATAAAAGAATCAAAAGCAGATAAGCTAGAGACTAAGGAAACTGTTGAAAGCAGAAAAGACAACAACACTGACAGGAATAGCAAAGACAGCAAGGCAGAGTAAATTTTAAAATTATTAAAAATTTTGGTAGTGTCCAAGTGATGTTGTAGCCTTGATGGTCCAGGAAATATGTGAGAGTTAAGTATTTTTATGGATGATATTTTTTATTGGAACTACTGAAGGGTTGAGATTTAGATATGCTTTTGAATGTAGTGCATTCATTTTCAGGTCTGAGGAAGTAACAGGCTTTGCAATGCTTTTCTTGACAAAGTGAAATGTTCTGAATCTAAATAAGATCTCCCATAGAGCTACCCATGTTGATCCTGCCTGTAACAGGCAATTGTCATATCTTGCTTGTGATTAGTTTAAAATAATTTAATTATTTAGGGTTACTTGTCTCACCTTAGGCTTTTCATATGTTTCTATCCATGTTCCAAAAGTTCACACTACTTCCCTGAAGACTTCATTTTGGGATATGTTAGCTCTAAGTAAATCGGCTATTGGAGGTGCACTGATACATAGGTCCCATATCAGATCGGCACCAATATGAGAAAAATTGAGAGCATCGGGAACCAGCTTTTTTTATCTGATGTGGCCGATAAATGCTTTTTGCATGTGTGGAGCTGGCCAGGAGTGCAGAATGGAGAGGAGCAGAGTTCAGCTGGTAAGTCTGTAGGGGAAGGGGCAAGGGGAGAAGGAAGAGGCATGGTGTGCAGGGCAGATCGAAGTCCCCCCGTGGTGAAGGTAGGAGTGGGGCTGGGGCAGGAGCAGGCACTGCACAGGTGGGATGGGACACAGGATGGAGCCGTGGCTCATCCTGGGGACGTGAGTGTGGGGGGCAGCTCTCACCACTGCACGTACCCTGGGAGGACATGGGGGGCCATGTGCCCCCGGATCTCTGTGCGAGGCAAGGTGGGATGCTGCTGTGGGCTGGGGCGGAGGTGGCACCGGGCTTTTCCTGGCGGGGGGCTGGCCCGGCCTGTGCTTGAGCCAGCAGTGACAGTGCTGCGGGGGGGGGCTGCAGCCACCACAAAATTTGCTGTAGTCCTCCCAACCCTCCCTCCCAGTGCCACTGCCTGCTCTGAGTGCAGCCCAGCTCAGCTGCCCACTCAAAAGAGCTCAGCACCTCCCCGGACCCAGCCCACAGCAGCAGCCTGCCCTCCCCTGCACATAGATCTGGGGGCACATGCCCCCCATGTCCTTCTGGGGTGCGTGCAGCAGCAGGAGCTGCTGCCCCTCCCCCTCCATGTCTCCCGGATGAGCTGCAAGACTGTCCTGTGCTCCGCCCAGCCCCATTCCCTCTCCTTCCCTCACTATGGGGGCCTTGGAGCCTCTCTCTCCCCTCCACGCCACCCCCCCAGGCGCTACTCGGACAAGCGGTGGCTCCATTCCATGCCCTGCCCCACCCCAGCTGGGCAGCCTCTGCCCCAGCACCAGCCCCACTCCCTCCCTTGCCTTGATCTGCCCTCGCCATGCCCCTTCCCTCCCCCAACAGACTTACCAGCCAGATGCCATGCTTCACACTGTGGGGCTGCATATTGAAATCGGATTGGTATCGGCCAATATGGCTCGTTAAAAATCAGTCATCAGTATTGCCCCAAAAAATCACCATCAGTGCACCCCTTTTGGCTACATCGCAGTTCCTTTTTATTGCTCGCTTACAACTAGTGTCACTGTTTAATAATCTTTTTTTTCCCTCTCTTAATAATTTTGGCCTGTTAGGTGAGCTAAGTTAAGGCCTATATTGCTCAACCTACATTTGGAAGTTTTCAGAAACCTTCCAAACATAAATTCTTATCCAAAGGAGTATCTAAATTCTGTCTGAACTAGATTTCCACATTTTTAACCTTCTCTTGCAACGCTTATGGTGAAAACAATTTGCTGGTCTAATGAGAAGAGAAGTATCTTAGTGAACTTGAATTAGAATGTTTCTTGCATGTCAGACAAGTGGACCGCTGATTGGTATTTCATACTGTGGTAAAGTAGGAGTCCCTGGCTAGCCACATGGCTAGTTTCACACCTGGCTCTGGGCACACCGCCCACCTGTATCACCTGCCATGCCTTGTTGGTAATTAATTAGGTTGTTAATTAAGGCAGGAGGCTGCCCATTGTACACCCTGATATTGGGGGGCTATCTGCGGCTCTGTTCCACCCCTACACTGCAGCCCAAGCCTTGCAGATGGCATCTCAGGCAGCTGGCTCAACTGTCCCCTTCACCCACTAGCTGTGGCCCCCAGTCATGGGACCTCCAGCTTCCATAGGCCCTGGTCCCATCTTATGTTCAGTCAGGACCCTGAGCTTGTGTGCTCATTATGGGCGTCCCTCATGGTGGGCCCCTGGCCCTTTTGACCCTTCCAGTCCTGGCCCCAGCATTGACCAGTCAAGTGCCTCAGGGTGGGTTTTTGCCTCCTGCCTGCACTTAAGGATTGGGGTCCCCCATTCCCGGCTCAGGTGCTTCTGGAAGCATGCCGGCCCTGCAGGGTTGCTCCCCCAGCAGGCTCAGGCGCCTCCAGAAGCTTACCTGGCCTACCCTGCTCTGATGTAATAAGTGACCCACCCAAAGGTGAGGGCTGGGGTTAAGGCTCCCCTACTCACCTTTCACCAGGGTGATCACTGGCCTGGCATTTCCTGGGGGCTCCTGCGCCACTGAGAGCCCCACCAGGCCACCCATTCCCGGCAGGGTGCAGTTTTAGGTCATGTCCAGGACCAGGAGCTTCCAAACCATCCCCTACAGCTCCTGCCCTTACCTCCAGGATGTTCCAAGCAGCCTTGCAGCCAGGCAGTGCCTGCCAGCAGCAAACTGCCCTATTTATATAGGCAGCCGTGGATCTAAAATGGATGCCACAATTAAGCACCTGCTGGCTGCTTGGCTCAGCCCTTAAAGTGGCAGACACCTACAGTGCCCTGCCACGTATACCAAGCCCTTCTGAAAATTTTTATTGTTGTTCTTGCCTATCTTGGGAAAATTTCATTGGAAGTGATCTCAGTTCAACAACTGTGTAAATAGATCCAGGTCAGCTATGAGCAGCTGGATATCCAAATGCCAGAGCATTAAAACTATTAGTGCTATAGTTCATTTTTTGAGACTTGAATTCAGTTTATGTGTTTAATCCTATTAATTTAAAACTGGAGTAAAATCAGCTCATTTGGGGAAGGCATTAAAGATTCTACGTCTACCTGGGGATTTCTACTTCTTGCTAATCTTCTTATAACTACATTTTTGTTTATTTATTTATCCTCATTTGTAAAGTTCTTAGGAAAGTCATACTGTATTGTAGCTTATGCCCTACAACTCATCTCGTGCTGGCAAGTTGGTGACCTCTCTCTCTCATTGCATTCCAGCAACATAACACATAATTATGAACTTTGTCCGAAAGTCTTAAATAGTTGTAAAAGAGTGAGGGGATGATGGGCCTCTGGTTCCTATAAAAGGGTTATAGGTAATGTCTTAGAAAGTTGAAATTCTCACAACATCTAATGATTCTAAACCATATCTGTCTCCTCACCTAGGATCATGTTGGGTTAGATTCTGCAGTATTTGTTTTAATTTAAGTTGCACGTTAGAAAATGAGAACAGGTCCTAATCCTGTAGTGTTAAAAAAGGGTAAAGGAGAAATAAGTCACAAATTCAATTTTGAATTTTCATAGAATCATAGTTAGAAGAGCCTCAAGAGCTATCTAGTCCAGTCCCCTGCACAATTTTCTTTGTTTTCTCCATTTGAGTGATGGTGGTATTGACACACATGATGTACAAGAAAAAAGGACTAAGAAAATCCCTGCCCAGTTTCAAAGAAGCCAGCATGCCTTGGGATATTTTCAGGAGGGAATAGATTCACCAAGTTTAGGGCTAGAAGGGACCTCGTGAGATCATCAGGTCCAGCCCCCCTGCTCGGGGCAGCAAAGACTCCTGGGGTCAAATAACCCCAGCAAGGTGTGCGTCCTTTTGAAGATCTCCAGGGTAGGTGCCTGTACCATCCCCTCTGGGAGTCTGTTCCAGAGTCTCATCACATGAACCGTGAAGAAGTTTTTCCTTTGGTGTTTTTAATTGATTATGAATATAAGCTATAATATTCTTTATATGTTGGTCAAAATATTGAATTGGGAGCAGGCCATTTTATTTACTTTCTTAGCAATCATTGTATGGACTGACAACACTTTTCTATTAATCGATTAGTAAACACTGTATGTATATAATTATATATACATTGTTTTACTTCTTTTTTTTTAAGATGCGATGACAGCAGACAATCAAAAGGTGAAAATCAGGATGTCAAGGTAAATAGCTGAATAAAAAGATTTGTTTCTTAAAGGGTTTTTTTTAAATCTTTTCTTTATGATGGGTAAGAATGTTTCAAACTTGTAGTCTTATATATGCAGTATTAGAAAGCTATACTAAGTAAATCTCTCTCGTTAAAAAAAATGTTCCGTGTTTTGTGAGGGGTTGCACAGTTTCCATTAGAACATTTTATATGTAGTATTTATGAACACCTATATAGGTAACAATAAGTGTATACTGTACAACTAAAGCTATGTAACACAATTGTTTCATTGTAATTACCCAGATAATAGAAATAAGAGATTCAGAGTCTTTTTAAATCTGTTTTATAGGATAAACAGCAAGAGGCTAATGATGTAAATTCTGAAGGGTTCACCAGCCAGGATGAACTACTGGGATTTTTGGTAGGTGTTATATTATGTTGTGAGCCAAGATTTCTAGAAAACTTTATTTTGCAAATCTAATATTTAAGACTAAAATTTTAAAACAAAACTAGGTAATTCATTTGTAAAACACTGGTAATTTGAGATGAACTAAAACAAACTTTGGGTATGTTGGTTCCATCTTCAGCAAAACATTGCTTTGTGACTAAGAAAAAACAAAATGGGTCTTCATCTGAACAAATACCGAACTTCTCCACAAAAAAAAGATAAAAAAATGCACTTCTGTGGGAATGATTTTTCCCTCCAGATTCTCCCTGATGTCCTCTAAACAAACATACATTAACCCTTATCTGTTCTCATGAAACCGTAACTGTTGTTGTTCTTATGGGGTAACTTGTTACCCCTCAATTCGACATTGTTGGTCTCTCGGGGTAACTTGTTCCCCCACCCACATCAACAAAATGGAACCAGTGACAGCAGTATAAATGTACAAAAACTATTTATTAAACATACGGATTGTTTGAAAGAGTATTTATGATTTCAACCCAAAATATTATTTAACTAGAACTGTGAACTTAGAGTTTCAAAATGTGAATGAACAGTTTGGTTAGTCTGCAGTTCACACTGTTTTCAAACTAACAATAACTTCCACAAACATTTCTTAACTGTTTTACCTAAATATTGCATTCCTGACAAAGCAGCAGTGATGTACTGTGGTGCACACAAGCAAATTGCTTACAATCTTCACATTGTTTCTGGATTTTGTGGTCATCTGTCCTTGGATAAAAATCACAACATCCACTTGTACTTGCAGAAGGTTCTACTGGGGTGCGTTGTGGCAATTTGTAATTTAGGGCAGTCATGACGGACCAGACAGACCAGACTCGACGGACTTAGACAGATTACAAGTATTCATCATTCTTCATTTTATTTGTCCATTGATCAACTGTTCTCCAAGCTCCTGCAAAAAAAAGTGTTGTCTTAAATGTGATCTTTGCTTCCAGTTTGCGTTGTGGCCTAGCCAAATGATGAGGCTGGCAATGGCAGCCGTATCCAGGATATTGAAAAATAGTGTCATTGACCACCTGTTGATTTTCCATCTGCAGGTTGTCATATGGACAAAGTGGTCAAGGTTATTATGCACCCCGCCTTTGTTTTTATTGTAGTCACTGATGATGTCCGGCATTCTTTGCTCTCCACCCACTGACAGGTCATGGTGCATGCTTGACAGCAACAGCACAACTTTGGACTTCTTTGGAACATAGGAAACTAGGGCAAGTTCTCCATCAAAAGCAAAAATGGATGAAAAAGTTTCCCTTCTTCGATTTGCTTGCATTTTGTTTGGGATATCAGCTTTGTTTTTCCTAGTCATACCCACATAATTCAAGTCCTCCTGTAGCAGCCTTTCTGAAGAAATTGTCACCCACAGTATTCCTTCTCATCTTGTACCAGGGATGAACCAATTTTTCAACGACTGAGGTACCAAGATTACCTTGGAGTGGAGCTTCTGGTTGCTTTCCTAGATAGATGTCTCCAAACAGGGGGAATGATGTTTCTGCATCACAGCACTACCAAATTTTCAAGCCATATTTGGCAGGCTTGCTGGGTATATACTGTCTAAAGGGACAGCAACCCCTGAACACAATGAGCTACTCATCAACCATCAGGTGTATTCCTGGAATATACCACTTCCTGAGCTGCTTCACAAATTGTGTCCAAATATCTCTGAAGGCAGCAAGCTTGTCCACAGCTCTCCTTTCCCCACATGTCAGTTTGTTGTCAAATATCAGGTAGTTAGTTAGCGATTTGACAGAATCGTTTAAACTCATGGTGGCTCAGAAGCAAGGATGCCTGGTGTGTTGCTCCTACAACTCCTCCAGTGCCTCATGACCACCATGGTATAAACCACTCAGCAGTAGGAGGCCAATGTAGGCTTTCAGCTCTGTTTCATCCAGCTTTTTCCACTCCTTTCTATTTTCAGGATGGCTGTCATTCCACTCCCTGAATCTTCTTTCTGCCTCTCTGTTTGTTTCTCTTATGATAACACTCAGGATATCTTGTGAGAGAAAGAGGTGGAATGTTTCCATCACTGTGTCTTTATTACTTTCTCTTGTTGGCCCAGCACTTTCATGGACTGTGTCCTTGGCTGTTCTCTGATGATGTATTAGCCGTGGACTTTTTTCCCACACTCTGCCATTTCTTCCTCTAAAGGTGTCATCATCTGCAATGTTTTCTGGGGGTGGTGGCAGTGGTTCTGCTTCACATCCTGCTGTAGCTCACCTTGGTCTTCCACAGCGACCCTGAGCTGGTCCTCTTCCCTTTCCCACCGGAAGTGTTGGCATCACTTCTGCTTCTAGCACCAACTCCTCCTCACCTGAGCTGGATGAAGCTTCCATAGGCACATGGTCTTCTTGCTCTGAACAGTCTCCCATGTCTGGAACAAAGCCAGCATCCTCACTGCCTTGGGATAACATTTCATCAGTGGATGTGTTGCTGTCATCCCCGGTTACCTATGCAAAACAGGCTTCAGCACTGAATATGGTACTGCCTTCTCATCCTGGACTGCAGACAAAAAGAAAATTGCTTACTGCTAAATGCATATAAATAACAATCAAAGACAAGCCTGTCCACCTATGCTATCACAGAAGCAATTCTGCCCTGCCCTATGGCAGCACAGCTAGCACCCTTTCCTCCTTGGCACAGAAGCCAGAGACTAGCATCCACCCTTTGCAAGCAAGCCAAATGTGGGTGCATACTGTTTGGAAACCACACATGCAGGGGCTTATTGAGAGCAGGTGAAAGGGGCATTGCAGGGGGGGGCGGTGTCAAGCCCTAACCATTGAAGGGGACTCTATAGTGTACGCTGTATTGCAGTATGAAGTTGTTGTATTTCTTCTCTACTGTCCCTTTGCTCCTTGTCCTCACTTACAGCAAAGGCAGGGCAAACTACCTTCTGTGTTATGAAAGGGGCAGGTGAGGCAGAGTTTTGCCATGAGAAAAGAGAGCAGAGGTGAATTTGGGTGTGACAAAGGATTGGGGTTTTTGGGAGGGGGGTGAGGAGGGGTTGTTTTTTTGTTGGGGTTTTTTTTGTTTTGTTTTTGGCAGAGGGCAGGGTGTTTTGATGACCTTGCTGCCTGCAAACAAAGTGGTTAGCAAAAGGACTTACCACATCTTCTGCAAAAGCAGAGTGGAGGATGGCCATCCATTAGTTACCATGGATACCTGAAGTGGACATGAATGAGGTGTGAATGAATGCTGACCTTTCAAATGCATCCACCCAGAGTGGCCAAACAGGTCCAAGCCTGTCATTTATACAGAAATTGCATTGGGGTAATGCATTAATATGGGCTTGGGGTAAGTTGTTACCCAATATGGAAAAACGTTTGTGCCTGGGGTAACATTACCCTAGGCAGTTTTTCATCCACAGAGAGCAAGCCATTCATGTAAGCTAGCTGTTATTTGGTGATATTGTGCACTGCGATGCCAGTGACAATGTCCTAAAAAGAAGAATTTTTAGAATTAATTAACTTTAAGATATGGCACAACATATGCATCTAGAGTAGGAAATTACCCCATGGGAATGTATGAAGGTTAAATACATAGGTGATAACTTTAATAATAGTGGCCTTATGATCTGGAGTTTGCCTCCTACAAAAGATTTTTATGTTGCAGAATGTTTCAGTGAGAGTGCATAAGAGAACAGACTGTTTATGGATGTGTTGATCTCAGTTGCTCTTCTTACTCAGTAGACTGGGACAGTCTTCAAGAATGAAACAAATGGTGGGCATGGAGTGGGACACCTGACACTTTGAACACCAAGAAAGGAAGAGAATTTAAGATTTATATTTGTGTTTGGTGAAACCAGTACAATAAGAGCTTACACGCAAGCACAGAGCAATGTGATTATATTATTGCAGGGGTTTTTGTTGTTGTTGTTTCTTTTTTACTGTTTGAGATGAAGATTTAGTTAATCCAGGGGTGAGCAACCTTTTACAAAGGTTGGGTTTAAGTAAAGTGACTTGGCCCTAAGGTGGGCCCTTCTTGTGACCTACCTGCTTCCCTTGCCATCCCCCTGCTACTGCATGTCACCAAATGTTGCCTTGAGCCAGTGTTTCTCCAACCTGGTAGTCACTTTTGCACCACACTACTACAGCTGCCACTGCTGCTTGCCCCCGTCGTAGTGTGTCATGGCTGGTAGCAATGGACAACAGTGGATTCAGTGGTGAGAAAAGCCAGGGATGCAGTAGAGTGGTGCAGACTCCCTACAGGAGCATCAGTTTCTGGCACTATCCCACCAGTGTGCTTCCAGTATTCCCTCACTTCTTCACTGAATGTTTTCATGGGCTAGAACTGGTCCATGAGCTACAGGTTGCCAGCCTCTAATGGAAAGAAAGAAAAGTGAAGGGAAGAAAATAGCAAAGCAGGGAAGAACGAGTGTGGGCAGGTTAGAGCAGAATAGGTGGAGAGAATAAAGAGGAGGTAATGAGAGCAAAATGGTTAATCAGCCCAAATTAGAACCAGCCCTTTCAAAGCAGCAGAGAATTCTCTGTGCTGTTTTGTTTCCTGTGTTTTATCATCATCTGTATCTGCTCCTTCTGGCTTGGGTCTGACTGACTTTTCCTTGTAGTTCTTCCCCAAGGAAAAATGGAAGGAGGGGGAAAAGAAATGCCCTAGTTTCTGGTATACTACAATAAAGCTGACCTAATTTTCAAATATCAAAGGTACTAAAGCTCCTAAATATGTTGCTTGATCCCCTGCATTCCCAAAGGATAATGATGACCCAAAAACACTATGAGGATTGCTTGTGGATTTTATTAGGATGTTAAATATTTATTTAAAATTAATACAGGTGTGGTCTCGCTAGCCATGTCCTATAAACAGTTACATTTTATCCTCTTCCTCATTTAATATTTGTATGTTCAATTTCTTCTATATATCATTGCTTAGTAACCAGTTCTATTAGTAGGTTCAATAATAAAAAGGAGACACCCGTGTCTGCTTTATCTTGTACCAAACAAGCT